GGTGGGCGGGCTGGTGGCCCACCCCAGCCCACACCTGCGGCTGGGAAGACAGGCCCGGGGAGGGCGGGGAGGAGGAGGAGCAAGAACTGGGAGCACGCACTGGGAGGAGTTGCAGGCGCCCTCCCGCCCACCTCCCCAGGTGATTGGGGACCCTGCGGGCCCGACGTGCAGAGGGCCTGGCCCAAGGAGGGTTCCTGGTGGGAGGTTTCTTTTCCTTATCTTTACTGAGACAGCCATCCAGGGTTCAGCTCGGGGACCCATCCTGTGTGTGGGCCTTTCCTGTTGTTAGGTGCTCATCTACTAGGTTCATGAACGACAGAAGCAAAGACCGGCCGGCACTGCGCCATCCTCACCATCGTCGCTGCCACTGTCAGTTCACCATGTTGAGGGTCCTCTTAGTACTTACCCTCCATTTTACCCAGCGTGACGGCCTTTGTCAAGGACTATAACATGTCCAAAGTAAGCCCAACCCTCCTGGCTTCTGCAGAATTGCAAGATTTGTTAGGGGAGGGGTCGTAGATTGTTGTTGTTTATTTTAATAAGCAATGGGAATGATGGAAATCCTGTCTGCCCTGGGGAGGTGTGTCTCATTCCACAAAGAGCAAGAAAGGTTGGTTTTTCTGGAGGCAGAGGTGGCCAAGGCTTAATAAGCCTCTTCCTCTGTGCGGTAGTTCCTGGTCCACCCGCACGGGCAGGGCAGAGGAAATGTTCACACACATACACACTGCCCTGGACACACAGGCACGGAAGAAACTGCTTATAGTGAAAAATCCCGTAGTACTGTTTGTGGGTCACAGTGGATAGTTGTTTCTTCCCATCCCTTCCCGATGCTGGTTTTGTGCCCAGGAAGGACCTTATAACTACTCTGCAGACTACCACCCTGCCCTCACCCCACCCCTGCCCTGCAAAGCTTGCCCCCTCAATGCAGCCACAGCCAATGTGTCTGCCATAAAGCCTAGGCCATTCTTCAAATACGTAATTACATTCTGCCTTGCCCCTCTGGTTCCCTTAGAGCAGGTTTTTCTAGATCCCTCTCCACGGTGCTCTGTTGGGGACTCTCAAACTGAGTAGATTCTCAGCAATTTCATCCTGGCAAACAAAGGCTGCACCAGTAATTGCACAGAATAGAAGTTAAACCACCAAGAACAATGGGTCTGGTGGGGGGAAGGCCTAACATAAAAACACCAAAGCTTCCCTTAGACAACAGGGCACATCGTGCACACCACCGCCCTAATGATACCTTAGCTTTGCGCAGGGCTTGTAAAGCAAGCTCCCAAACATCTATCTAGGGAGGTGAAGAGGTCGCGTCAACCATGTTGGACATTTATGCCATCTCTTCCAGGACCTCAGATATCGTTTTAAAAGCCATGTAAAGATGTGCTGCTATTATTCTGTGGCACTAAAAGAAGACCCTAAATGGTGGACAACTAGACAGTTGTCTGTTGTTAGGATATGAAGGACACCCGATACTAGGTCTTTGTGATGCCCAGGACTTACAGTGCAGTGGAGAGGAGAAACAATAAATAGAAAAATATGCCTATCTAGGTGAATGAATACAAAGTCAAGGTGCTGTGAAGCAATGCAATTTGGAAGGGGGAGAAGCCAACAGCAGTAGAATCAGCTTGTGGCAGATTCTATGTCAACTTGAACCTGTGTGAAAGTGTAGGGGCGGAGTCTAACCTATTAATCAGATGACAGCCTGGTGATGGCCCCTTAAGGGTGTAGCCTTTTTTTAAGAGAGACAATGGGCACTTCTCTCTCTTCCCTTTTGCCCTCCTGGTTGCTTGGATTCTTTGTCTGCCTCATGTGGGCTGCCAACCTGGAAGCTGTAGTGCCTTGCCATGTTCCCACTGACCTGGGATACACATGACTCTGCCCACATGGGACTGGTGGGTTCAAAGCAGGGAGAGAGAATCCCACAACCATCCAGAAGGAAGAACCAGGATTGACACACATCCAAGATCCCTACATGAAGAGGCAGCAAAGGAACAGTGTGGAGACCAGGAGACGGGGCAGAGCAGCAGTGTCAATGCCATATAACAGAATCTGTAAAGCCAAGTGACTTTGGGCAGGAGGCTGGCTTGCAGAGTGGGGTGCCTTTGGCATTAATCAGTACTAGAGGAGCTTTGTAACAGGTGTTCAAGCAAGGCAGTGGCTGCTAAGCTGAAGACTAGAGACAGATGTGCCTGGTGGTATAGCTAAGAGGCGATGCTACAGACAAAAGGACAATATTCTCTTATCTTGTTTTTCTTATGTTTTCCTTTATGTTTTCTGATCTTGACTTGTTGTGACCTGTTGATTTCCCTAGTAAATTTACATAGCTGTGAGTGTTGTCTGTGAGTTGTGTGTGGCCATGACAGCAAATTATTGTATCCAGCCGACCAGCGTATCATAGAAGGGCCAGTTGATATAGGAACAGGTTAAAGATGGGAGGGTAGGGAAATGTCTGACCTCAGCCTCATGGAATCATCCTTGGACAGGTAGGGAACGGTCCCTCTCCATTGCCCCTGTGTAGCTGGAGGACAGCAGACATGGTCCCTATGCCATTTCCTCAGAGGGAGTGAGAGTTGCCAGGCCAGAAGATCTCCCAGAAGGCAGAAATTCAAAGAGACAAGAGCCTTTCTCCAGAAACAGAACAAAGACCTTCTTCTCAAGCTGGCTGGCACCCGACTTCAGGCTTCTAGAAATTCTGTGAGAAAAAATTCTCAAATTTAACAAAGTTCTGTTTGTTAATGCTTTTTACTTGTGACTTTTCTGTGTATTAGGTAACTAAGACAGAATTTGGTATCGAGAGTGGAGTGTTGCTTAAACAGATACCTAAAATGTGGAAGAAGTTTTGTAAGTGGGTAGAGGCTAAAAAGAGCTTTAAGGCTCCTAATAGTAAAAGCCTAGATTACCTTGAAGAAAGACTCTTCACAGATTGTGGTCACCAAAGGCAATTTTGGTAGGGATCAGAAGGGGGTGAGGAAAACTATAAAGAAAGTATATTGCTAGAAATATGGGCATTAAATGTGCTAATAGCATTGAAAGATGATGATGTGATTGGGAGATGGGGGACAGAGGATGTGAGTGAAGGGAACAGGGTTCATGGGGAGGGGGATGAGGAACTGATATCAAGAGCTGACGTAGAAAGAAAATGCTCTGAAAAGGATGATGGCAATGAATGTACAAATATGCTTGACACAATGGATGTGTGTATGGATTGTGATAAGAGCTGTGAGAGCCCCCAATAAAATGATTTATTTTTAAAAAATGTGTCTGAATTGTGTTTAAATGTTGGTGGAAGGTGGAAACTTTCAGGGGGTGAACTTGGATATTGCCTGAGGAGACGTCTAAGCAAGATCTTAAAGGAACTGCATGGTTTTCCCTATAAATTAAGAGCAAATGTTAAAAATCCATGAAATTCTGCTGTACACACTAAACACCAAACTCACTGCCGTCAAGCAATGCTGAGTCACAACAGCCCTATAGGACTGGTAGAACTGGCCCTGTGACTTTCAGACCGAGACTGTAATTCTTCATGGGAGTAGAAAGCCCATCCTTCTCCCTCGGAGCCTCTGGTAGCTTGGAACTGTGGACCCTGTGGTTAGCCCCGCCCAAAGCATAAGCACTAAGCCACTACATGCCCTATGCCTGTGGTAGTATTTCCATTTGGAATGTGTTTTCTGTTAATGAGGCCAGATTTTAATCTCACAAGAGATAAAAGGAACAATTAAGCAAGGGTTTGGGAGTGCCAATCCACAGGAAGATTTTCCAGGAGCCAAAGTTTAAAGAGACAACAGAGAGACCTTCCTCCAGAACCTTCGGAGAGCAAAAGCATTCCCCTAGAAGTGGCACCATGAATTCAGACTTGCAGCTTCTGAAACAGTGAGAAAATAGATTTCGGTTTGCTGAAAGCACCCCCCTGCGGCATTTCTGCTGTAGCAGCCCTAGATAACCAAGACACAGACTGAAGCTCATTCGGAGTAGATTGAAGTGGACAATGAAGAAGGGAGTAGACAGAGGATGTATAGGCATTCTTTCAAGAAATTTGACTGGAATAAGGCAGAGAATGAACGCTAGCAAAGAAGATGGAATCCCGTGGACGAAAAGATACAATGGAGAAGAGAGATCATAGCAAAGCGGGCAAAGGGGAATGGCATCCAAAGGCAGAGGAAGGAATGGGTCTGGATTAGGAAAGAAATCCTTTGTCTCCGGTTCTCCACCTAATCGCTGTCCAACGTTGAACTGGAAATGC